TATGAAGACTGGTGGTGGTGATGACTGCACAACATTTTGAGTGCCATTTAATATCTCTGAACTGTACACTTAAAATGGGATAAATTTTATGTGTATTTTATGACAATAATTTTTTAACTACTTGAAGTAATCAGGGCCAAAAACTTCCCAGATATGATGAAACATGTGACTCTATTCATTCAAGAAGCTCAATGAGCTTCGAGTAGAATAAACTCAAAAAGATCCACACAGAAATGTGAAGTTAAACTCAGAAAGACAAAAAGAGAATCTTGAAAGCAGGATGAAAGAAGATAAACAGGCAATTTCTCATCAAAACCCATGAAGAACAGAAGGTAATGGGTTGATATACTTAAAGTGCTGAAAAATAAAAAACTGTCCACCGAGAAGTCTATGTCCAGTGAAACGATCCTTCAGAACTGAAGGAGAAACCAGGACACTTCTGGATAAATGAATGTTGAGAGAGCTCGTTGCCAGTAGGCCTGCCCTACAAGAAATGCCAGCTCGGGATGAAATAAAAGGGCACTAGACATGTTAAGAAATAAAGAACACTAATAAAGCCATCAATTTTGATAGTTTGTATGTGAATAGAAATTTATCCATTACATCTAGTTAGCTACATTATGAATGTATTTAATATCACTGAACATGCTTAAGTGGAATGAATTTTATTGGTTCTGTGTGTTGGTGTACAATCGTTCACTTCTTTTATAGTCTTTTTCATTTATATAGGTCAGTAGCGATGTGCCCATTTTCATTTCTGATTGTAGTAATTAGAGCCTTTCCTTTTTTTCTTAGTCTAGTTAAAGGTTTATAAATTTTATTGCTGCTTTCAAAAAACTAATTTTAGACTTCATTGGTTCCAATTCTCAATTTCTTTACTTGCTCCCTTTATTCTATATATAATCTTTATTTTCTTCCTTTATCTAGGCCTGGGTTTAGCTTGATCTTTCTTTTCTGGTTTCTTAAGATCTTTCTTGTTCTTTAACATAAGCATTTACAGCTACAAATTTCCCTCCATAAACTGTTTTTGCTGTATCCCACACGTTTTGGTTTGCTACACTGTCGCTGCCATTTATCCCACAGTATTTTCTAACTTCTCTTCTTTCATCAACTCGTTGTTTAAGTGTGTGTTGTTTCATTGCCACATATTTGCGAGTTTTCCAGTTTTCCTTCCGTTATTGATTTCTAATTTCCACTGTGGTCAGAGAAGATATATTATATGATTTCAATAATTTTAAATTTATTGAGACTTGCTTTTGGACTAATGTATGGCCTAATCTGGAGAATTGAGAAGAATGTGTATTCTGCTGTTGTTGGGTTGTTTTATTCATTACCATATTAGATCTACCTTGTTTATCGTGTTCTTCAAGTTCTCTGTTTCGTTCCTGTCTTTGATCTAGTCGTTCTATTTTTAAAAATGTTTTTAATCAGTGGAAGTGAATTCTTCAAATTGAAGTCTTCAAATATTATTGTTGAGCTGGAATTGTCTATTTCTTTCTTCAATTCTGTCAGTTTATGCTTGATATATTTTCAGGGTCTGATGTTAGGCACATTAATGTTTATAATTGTCTCATCTTCTAGGGCCAGGCATGATGGCTTATGCCTATAATTCCAGCTACTCAGGAGGTTGAGGCAAGACTATCGTTTAAGGTCAAGAGTTCAAGACAAGCCTGGGTAACATAGAAAGACCCTGGCCCCTAAAAAAATTTTTTTTAAATACCTGAGTATGGAGTTGTGCACCTGTAGTCCCAGCTACCTGGGAAACTGATGTGGGAGGATCACTTAAGTCCAGGAGTTTGAGGCTGCAGTGAGCTATGATTGTGCCACTGCACTCCAGCCTGGGCAACAGACCAAGACCCTGTCTATATTTGTTTTAATGGTTCTGGGACAGTTGCATATCTACACACAAAATCATGAGGTTGCACCATGTCTCACACCAACAAATTAGCTAAAACTGGATCAAAGCCCTAAGTATATGAGATAAAGCCATGAAACTCTTAGAAGGAAACATAAAAGTAAATACGCGTGACCTTATATTGGGCAATGGTGTTTCAATGTAACAGCAGAAGCACAAGCAACAACAGGAAAAAGACTGAATGTCATCAAAATTAAAAAGTTGTTAGTCAAAAGACACTATCAAGAGAGCAGAACAGGCCGGGCGCGGTGGCTCACGCCTGTAATCCCAGCACTTTGGGAGGCCCAGGCGGGTGGATCACGAGTTCAACAGATCGAGACCATCCTGGTCAACATGGTGAAACCCCGTCTCTACTAAAAATACAAAAATTAGCTGGGCGTGGTGGCGCGTGCCTGTAATCCCAGCTACTCGGGAAGCTGAGGCAGGAGAATTGCCTGAACCCAGGAGGCGGAGGTTGCGGTGAGCTGAGATCGCGCCATTGCACTCCAGCCTGGGTAACAAGAGCAAAACTCCGTCTCAAAAAAAAAAAAAAAGAGATCAGAACAACCCACAGAAGGGGAGAGCATGCTTGTAAATCCCAATTCTGGTAAAGATCTAACATCCAGAATATATAAATAACTCTTAAAACTCAGCAACAAAAAGTCAACCCAATTTAAAAAGAGGCAAAGTATTTTAACAGACATTTCTCCAAGGAAGATTGGCAAATGGCCAATACACACAGGAAAAGAAGCCCAGTATTGTTGGCCATTAGGGAAATGTAAATAAACACCACAATGAAATGCTGTTGCTACGTATACCCACTAAGCTGGCTGTAATTTAACACACACACACACACACACACACACACACACAGATAGAGGGTGGCAGATGTCCACAAGGACGAAGAGAAACTGGAACCTTTGTACATTGCTGGTGAGAACATAAAATGGTACAGATGCCATGAAGAACAGTCTGGCAGGTCCTCAGAAAAAAATGTAAACACGGAATTCCATATGGCCCATCAGTTCCCACTCCTAGTGTATACCCAACAGCATTTAAAAGAGACATTCAAACAAAAATGCATACAAGAATGTTTTCAGAAGCACTATCCACACTAGCCAAAAGTTGAAAATAGCCCCAAAGTCTGTCAGCAGATGAACGGATAAATGAAATGTGGCACGTCCCTACGAGGGAACGGGATTCAGCCATACAGAGGAATGGAGCTCCGAAACATACGACATGATGTGCCTTGAAAATGTGCTAAGTGAACAAAGCCGGGCGCAAAGGCCACATATTCTGTGACTCCATTGATAGGAAATGTGCAAAACAGGCAAAGCCGTAGAGACAAGAATAGTGGTTTCCAGGGGCCGGGCTGTGGCTGCTTAACAGTACAGGGTTCAGGAACAGAAACTCAAACCCCGCGTGTTCTCTCTCATTCGTAGGTGGGTGTTTCACAGTGAGAACACATGGACACAAGGAGGGGAGCATCACACACTGGGGTCTGTTCGGGGACTAGGGGAGGGTCAGCAGGGGGTAGGCAGGTTGGGGAGGGATAACATGGGGAGAAATGCCAGATATAGGTGGCAGGGGGATGAAGGCAGCAAATCACACTGCCAGGTATGTACCCATGCAACGATCCTGCGTGATCTGCGCGTGTGCCCCAGAACCTCAAGCACATTCTATATACACAGTACGTGGTCTCCTTCTGGAGCGATGGCTGTTCTGAACTAGGGAGGTCGCAGGATGGTGGCACAACATTGTGACTGCACTAAATGTCACCAAACTGCACACTTTAAAATGGGTAAAATGGTAAATTTTATATTACCGTTTACCACGATTTAAATTAAATGACACCTGCCAAGAGCATCTAAGAATGAAGCCCCTGCGCTCCGGAGTACTGGGAATCATCAGCATTTTAAATCCTGTTTCGTCTTCCGGCGGGAGACGCGTGTTTAAATTTGAGAAACTTCAGTTATTAATGAGGTCGAGTCACTGTCCATCCCATTAATGCTTATTGGAAATGTAAAATTTTAAACCTTGTCTTCAATTGTTTTGGATCTCATCCTGTTTTCCTGGCGAGGACCTTAAATTTTTACATTAATCGTTCCCCTGTCATGGAGACTGCAAGTGTTTTCTGGCAGTTCAGTATCTTCAGTTGTCCACCCAGTGATTCCTTCGGGGCTGTGATGGAAAGATGCGGGTGCTGAGCTGAGGCGCACGGACCAGTCTCCGGCACCCACCCTGCCTGGTTTCCAGGGGCATGTGCCGTATGTGCCCTGGTCAAGCTTTACGCTTTCGTTCACATCCGCCCCTCTCACATTCCCATTGGGCATTTTAGACGGGCTGCCAGGCAGATGGGCTTCCATTCCACTGCATTGTCACACGGTCACGGCAGGGGTACAAGTGGGGCTGCTGGGTGCGGTGACTGTCCTTCATCCAGCCCTTCGGTGCACGTGGCCTGGGACAGGCACTCTGATCCTAGGTGGACAATCATGCCACCTACAGATACCAGAAATTCACATCACGTTTCAATGTCTTGGCTTGTGGCTTCAGTCAAGGTGCAGATAGAGAGTAAGATTCCCCTTTAAAGCTCTGGGCCTCTGGGCAGCGGGACTGACCGTGTCCCCGTCGGGTCCTTTTCTCATTCAGAAGAGTCTGGAAGAATATTTGAGGTCTGTGTTTCCTGTCAGAACTAGCCTCAGGCTGTGCTGCGCTCAGGCCCCAGGACAGAGAAGCTCACCTGTGACAATCCCTGCCCCGGGGTCAGGGCCAGCCCTGCCTCATGGCCTCCAAAGCACAGGCTTTGTCAACTCCGAGTGTCCTCCGCTGTCCACACAACCCTCACTCCACTCCTGCCTCTCCAAGGCAAAGGCCCCTCCCCACCCTCAGGCCATGACCTATGCCCACCCCTCTCAGGACACCTGACCAGGGCTCCAGGGGACGGTGGTCCAGACCCAAAGGCCAGTCCCCAGACCGTGTCCTCCTAATGAGCGGACTGTCCAGAGGCCTTGCCGGAACGTTCCATCTCCCTCTCAGGGGAGGAGAGGTCCTCCCTGTCCTCCTGCCCTTGGCAGACATCAGGAGCTCAGAAGATCCCAGTGCCCCCCAGGAAACGCTGTCCTTAAGCACCTTTTCTCTACACAGGCGCCTCCTTCCTGGCTCTGCCAATCCCAGCCAGGCCAGCCTGCCCCGTGAGGCCCCTGCAGACAGATGCTGGGCATCCCCTGGGCCAAGAGACCACGCTGGGGACAGTCACGGGACCTGCCAGGTGGAAGCCACCAGGGCAGCCCCACAGACGCTGCACCTTCCCCCCTGGTGTCCCGGGGGCCAGGCTCAGCCAGGGGCACCGGCCCTGCCCAGGACCAGCCGAGTGTGAGGAGCAGAGTGAGGACAAGTCACAGCAAGGGAAGCAGAAATAATGAGGGTCCTCCCAGCCACAAACACCAACACGGAAGGCGTTGCTGAGTCTCGTGCTGGGAAAACACAGGCGCCGGGTGTATAAAAGCCCCAGAGCCCAGCAGCTGACAGGCTCACACACTCACACACTCCCCCACTCACACACACCTCCTCCAGCTCACCTCCTCCACACCCCAGCATGGCCGCATCCACCATGTCCGTCTGCTCCAGCGCTTGCCCCGACTCCTGGCAGGTGGACGACTGCCCAGAGAGCTGCTGCGAGCCCCCTTGCTGTGCCCCCAGCTGCTGCCCCCAGGCCTCCTGCCTGACCCTGGTCTGCACCCCAGTGAGCTGTGTGTCCAGCCCCTGCTGCCAGGTGGCCTGTGAGCCCAGCCCCTGCCAATCAGGCTGCACCAGCTCCTGTACGCCCTCATGCTGCCAGCAGTCTAGCTGCCAGCCTGCTTGCTGCACCTCCTCCCCCTGCCAGCAAGCCTGCTGTGTGCCCATCTGCTACAAGCCTGTGTGCTGTGTGCCCACCTGCTCTGAGGATTCTTCATGCTGCCAACAGTCTAGCTGCCAGCCAGCTTGCTGCACCTCCTCCCCATGCCAGCAGGCCTGCTGTGTGCCTGTCTGCTGCAGGCCCATCTGTTGTAAGCCCATCTGCTGTGTGCCCATCTGCTCTGGGGCTTCCTCTTCATGTTGCCAGCAGTCTAGCTGCCAGCCGGCTTGCTGCGCCACCTCCTGCTGCAGACCCTCCTCCTCGGTGTCCCTGCTCTGCTGCCCTGTGTGCAGGCCTACCTGCTGCGTACCTGTCCCCTCCTGCTGTGTCCCCACCTCCTCCTGCCAGCCCAGCTGCTGCCGCCCGGCCTCCTGCGTGTCCTTCCTCTACCGCCTCAAGTGCTCCTGCCCAGCCTGCTGAGGCCTCTGCTCAGGCCAGCTGCTGATGACCCTGGATGTCATCCAGAGTCCCTTCCCACCTGGGACTGACCTCCCAGCTACTACAGCCAGCCCTCCCCTCTCTGACACACTCAGAGAATGAGGCAGACTCTTTGTCTCAGGGACCATGATGTTCCCCCAGTCCTTCCCAGATGCTGGCTGCACGGGGGACCCCAGCTGTGCCCCCAGATCCCAGCTCTACAGAACCAACCCACAGCAGGCCTGGTTTCACCCTCGGTAGCATCCCATCTGAGTCTTAATAAAGCTGCCTGTCTCACATCAACCTTTGTGCTGTCTGTGGACCCCCGGAGGGGAATAGGGTGAGGTGGGAAGTGACGCCACCCGACTGCAGGGAGAGTGCTGACCCCAGCAGGCCTGGTTTCACCCTCGGCAGCGCCCGCTCTGTGTCCTAATAAAGCTGCCTCTGTCTCTGTCGACCTCTGATCCCGTCTGTAGACCCCTGGGGGATGGAATGAAGCAGGAAGCAAAGCCGCCTGGTGCTGGCCTTTGGAATCCTGCAGCCCAGACTCCCCCTCAGCCCTGTGGGTCCCCAGCCCCAGCACATGACCCCAGGTCCATCTCAGGGAAGCTGCCTCTGGAACCAAGGCCACGAGTTTTGGGACAATGTGAACCCTGGCAGCAGCTCTGGGCCCCTGAGACACATTCACCCTCCCCAGCTCTGTGGCTGCCCCCCAGGACTGCGGGAGCCACCCCCAGGGCCTCGCTCCACCCAGCAGCCTCACCCCTCTTGCTACCCCTGGGGAGACTAGCTATAGACACAGTGCCCATCCCTGCAGCCCTGGTCTCCTCCACAGTGAGACACAGGACCACGCCCTCCTCCAGGACACCAGCCCAGCAGCCTCACCCCTCTTGCTACCCCTGGGGAGACTAGCTATAGACACAGTGCCCATCCCTGCAGCCCTGGTCTCCTCCACAGTGAGACACAGGACCACGCCCTCCTCCAGGACGCCAGCCCTGGGATTGTCACGGGATTCTTGAATACCCATTACTCAGGCATTGCTGGCGAGAGCACAGATGGGCAGGGACCATGGCACCACTAACCAAGCCTGCCAGCCCTCCTGCCCCATGTGGCCTCACGTAGAGATTCAGGGTCCCGGCTCCCTCCTGATCCAGTGGTCCTGGACACTTACCCTGAGGACACTGTCCGCACACCCCCAGTCTCCCAGGTCTCTCCCAGACAGCCCTCGGCTCTGCCTGCCACCCTCTGTCCCGGATGCCACGTCGAGCAAGTGGTACGAGCCGCCACACTCTTTCCACCAGGTCGCTGTGTGCATTTGAGAGCCCAGGTCCCACTCCTGCCCCAGCAAACCCCTGCATGTCGATGCCAGAGGCCGCCAGCTCCAGCACCAGGACCTCCCGGAGTCCCACCCCACGGAGCTCACTGTGGTCAGCACAGCCACCTCCCTCGCTCCCCTCGAGGCAGACCACCCAGGACAGCCAGCAGCGGCCGTCCCCAGGGCTGGGGCCAAACTGACACAGCCTTGTCCACCTCCTTGGAAGCAAAGGCAGGTCCCCATGAAGGGACAAATGAGGGCCTCCAGGGGCAGAGATGTTTACTTCCTGCCCCGGTTTGTGGGGCAGCTGGTGGGGGCTGAGGCTTTATCCTAGGGCTCCGGCACCATTCTGGGAGGGGCTCCCCACACATGCATGTCTGAGCCCCACCTCACTGTGCCCACTGCTGGCCACAGGGTCAGAACACAGAGCCACATGGAGGGCCCGGGGCTCGCTCTCTAACCTCCTCCACATTGTCACTAACCCCCACCTGCCCTTGTCTGAGGCACCAACAGGACCCGACCCAGCCTGTCTGGCCTCCCCCTCAGGACATCTCCTGGGGGGAGGTCTCAGCTCTGACCCCTGCTCTGGGTTCCCATTCAATGTGTCTTCTGCCTCATCAGAGCTTCAGCCTCCAGTGAAAACACCTTGGAAAACAGTTTCTCAAAATGTCACTCACTGTGTGACCCTGTGACCCTGCCAGTCCAGTTCTTGGCATCCTCTTCAGAGGAATGAATCAAACGTCCACACAGATTTGTGTGCCCATGTACACAGCACCACTGACATTAGCCAAGAAGTGGAAAGAGCCCAAATGTCCATCCGAGGATGAATGGACAAGCATAACACAGCCCATCCACACAAGCAAAATGTGGCCCATTCCCATGGGGAATATTACTTATCTATGAAAAGGAATCAAATACTGACACAGGCTACCACATGCATGAGCCTTGAAAGCATGATGCTCAGTGAGAGGCCACTTGTGGCTAGATCTGTTTGTGTAAAAGGCTCAGAACAGGCAAAGCCACAGATAAAGGAAGTAGATGTGTGGGTGCCCAAGGCTGGGTGAGGGCTTCATGAGGAGTGACTGTTGATCGGTGTTTTTCTTGGAGGGGGAATGTTGTGAAATTACATATTGGTGACAGCTGAGAAATGCTGGGAATATACTAAAAACCAACGGATTGTGCACTTGCAGTGGGTGAATTTCGTGGCTTATGAATTTTATCTTGGTCTATCTGTTAAATACAGTCTTAGCCCGCCATTTGAGAGGGCCACGGGCCAATGCCTCCATCTCCCCTTTAACCCAATAAAAATGAATAGTGCCAGAGCAGTGAGAGAAAGCGGAAGCATGCCATCCACAGACCAGGTCAGTAAGGATTTTCTGGAAAAGGCAAGACAAAAGATCAGGTTCTGTTGACTTTAAATACAACAGAAAGAATAGCAGAAGGACTGTGAAGACAAATGACTTTTCCCAGGACCCTAGCATGGGGAACACACATGAGGATGACTGTGGGTGCCCAGTGGTCTTTAGCTGATGTGTCAAGTTCTCAGGAAGAGCCACTTGGTGGCCTTCATCCATCAGGAGAACAGGAGGAGACTCCCAGCCTAGGTCCCAAGCTGGAGAGGAAGAGGCCATGCCCCAGGAAGCTCTGGATGCCAAGATGAACAGGATCCCCCATGTCCAACCAGCAATGAACAAGGGCCCCCTCCTCAGAGCCCCAGCATCAGCTCTGGGTGCAGAATATGTGTATCTATGGGCAGAGGACCTTTCAGCAATGAATGTCAAACAATCTAGACCCTCACTTAAAAAACTGATCAACAACTAAGGATCCTCAGACATGTGAGGAAATCACAGCATGACAGAGAAGCAAAGTCTGGTCAAGCGATGATGCAGATGTGAGGAAACAGAGAGGCTGTCACTTCATGAAACAAGAACAGGGTGCTACCCAAAAGAAAGAGGAAGAGGAGGAAGGAAAACACCCCAAGTTCCAGGAGACTGAAAGTACAACACTAAATACACATGTCAATAGTGGTCTGTGTAATAGATCCTGAAAGCAAAAGAGCTGATACGGTGACACAGTTCAGGCAAGGATTAACCCAAACCCAATGCAGAATGACAGATGAAGCCAGGAAGAGCCTGAGTTCTGAGGGGGATGAGCCTAGAGACCCAGGGTCTATGATACCAGGATCACAGGAGGAGAGAACCCAAGAATGGAACAAAATCATCAAACCTATATGCAGATAAAAGTTCTTGAACTATTTGGGAGGCTGAGGCAGGTGGATCATGTGGTCAAGAGATCGAGACCATCCTGGTCAACATGGTGAAACCCCATCTCTACTAAAAATACAAAAAATTAGCTGGGCATGGTGATGCGTGCCTGTAATCCCAGCTACTCGGGAGGCTGAGGCAGGAGAATTGCCTGAACCCAGGAGGCGGAGGTTGCGGTGAGCTGAGATTGCACCATTGCACTCCAGCCTGGGTAACAAGAGCGAAACTCTGTCTCAAAAAATAAAAAAAAGTTCTTGAACTAAAGGAAGATGGGATCCAGGGGATGAAACAGCTGATGACTGTGATGGGGAGGGATCTGGTAAAATGAATGAAGTACAAGATGGAGCAATAGTGACAGGTTCTGGAAAGAGAAAAGGTTTCATAAAAGATCAAAGTTATGCAAACATGAGATGCATTGGTGGTCCAGCCTCTCTCAAGGTCGGGGGGAGTCATTCCACACCTAGACTCTGCTGTGGCAGGCATCCACGGGAGGGCTGTCAGACAACAGGGATCTGGAAAGTTTACCACCCACGACGCCTTCTGAGCTTTTCCTCACAATCTCCAACAAGAAGAAACACAACGCCCTCTTTTCCACAAATGTCCATCAAGGAAAATCTAAAGAAAATAAAAATACAGTCTAATAAAAATAAGCAGACATTAAAGATGGAAAAAGAAGTATGCTCACAGATTCAGAGATTTTTTTCAGCATAAGAAAATAGTATGGTATATTTATCCTAAAATTTGGAAATATAAATGAAATCTACTGTGTTCTAAAACATGTAAATTACCTAAACTGAATAACAAAACAAAACAATTTTAATACAATGATATCTAGAAAAATATGGAAATGGTATTGAAAGATATTCTTCAGAAGGCAGACTCATATGTTTCAAAGGTGTATACCATCAGCCTTCAATATAAAGACCTTCCTGTAATACTTTAAATATTCCAGAGCTCAGAAGAAGCCAGAGGGCTTCTGGATTCCTCTGGTAAGACTGGTGACACCCTGATGACAAAACCAGTAATGACAGTGAGAGAGACGGGACTGTAGACCAATCTCACTTCAAAAGATAATGTAAGAGATTCTATGAACCTACGTTAACAGGAAACTAAGCCATTACGTACAGCTATCATGGGAAATAGCATGGAAGTTCCTCAAAAAATTAAAAATAGAACTGCCCTGTGATGAGCAATCCCACTCTGTGTATTTATACAAGACAAATTAAAGCCAGATCTCAGAGATACCTGCACTCCCATGTGAACTGCAGCACTTTTCACAACAGCCAAGATATGGAAGCACCCTAAGCGTCCATCAGCAGGTGACTGGATAAAGAAAATGCGGTGTATGTGCATGATGGAATACGACTCAGTCAGAGAGAGGAAGGAGATCGTGTGATCTGTGGCAACCTGGATCAACCTGCACACATTATGCTGGTGCAATAACCCAGGCACAGAAAGTCCAGTACTGCAGACCTCCCTCATACGCGGAATCTAAAAAAGCCAAGCTCACCAAAGCAGAGAGTAGAGTGGGGGTTCGCAGGGGCTGGGGGCGCAGGGCATGGGGAGATGCTGATGACAGGATGCAGTTTCGGTTGTGCAGAATGGGTCCGTTCTGGAAACCTCACGTGCAGCGTGGGGACAGTTGACTGTAACGCAGAATGTGACGCAGTGACACTGAAATCTGCTAAGAGAGTCCATCTAAATGTCTCATCACAAAATAAAGGTAACTACATGGGGCGATGGAGATACTAATTAGCTCAACTGCGGTAATCATCACGCAATGTGTATGTGTATCAAGATGTCATGTTGTACACCTTGAATGTATATAATTCTTATTTGTCAATTACATCTCAATAAAGCTGGGGAAAAGGGATCATGAACTATTGTCACATAATGTGTATCTCAGATCACAAGTTACAAAGGATATCATTAGCTATACTCATAAAAAAGCAGAAAAGCCACTGGAACTCTCAGTAGATTAATACACACACATTTACATACATGGACATATATGAACAAACTCACTCCTTCATTAAAAACCCAATGCAAAATTCTTGGTAAACTGGAATAGAAAAACACCACATGCATGGGACCAAGGCTATGCCATAAACCAGCAAACATGGGCTTAGCGCAGAGCTGCGGGAGGCGCTTCTGTTAACTTTGGAAATAAGACCAGAGGGCTGCTGTCATCATGTCTCCAGCGCTGTGCTGGGCAGCCAGCCATGAAGGGTGGGAGTCAAATAAAACAAAAGACTAAATTTTGGAAAAGAAGAATCCAAACATGTGTCACTTGCAGGAGACCCGGCTGTGGGCCACCCTGTCCTCCAGACTCACATCCCCTCCCAGCACCTCCCTCTCCCAACGCTGGGCCATTTAATCCCTGCAGCTCAGCTTACTCATATCCCCAGAGTGTCTGCTTGATTTAAGAAAGAGTCTGATCATTTGTCCACAAAAGGCCTGCTGGCACCCAGCAGAAAGTTCCCTGATCCAAAAGGACACATCTCCAGTATGTGCGGGGCTCCAAAGTTGCACTTCATGTTGTGTCTGATGTAAAAAGGCCACACTTGTACTGTGTGTGTCTGCAGTGAACACACTAATATGATGCCATCCTATATTTCCTTGCTCTTCTATCATTTCCTAAAAGTAGCACCAAGTCTTTCAATCCCAGAGAGTAGATTAAGCACACAGTTCTCACACACCTGTACTAATAGTTGCTGAAAGGATATCTAAAGAATTACAAAAAATAAAATCAAAATTATCTAATAATAAAAGGAGGCTCAGCAGGGTCCTTCATACATTTGTAGAAAAAAGAAGCAAACAGAAACAGATTAAGGAGTAAATTGGAGAAGGGCCCTGATGCACTAGAATAAATCAAAAGAACTGCCACCAATGAGCAGACTCTATCTGATGTCCAGTGAAACAAGGAAAAATATTTAAAAACTCAAAGTAATATCATCAGAATGAATGGATAACATATTTCATTCAACACAAGACAAAAATAAAAGGTCATAAAAAGAGAGACCAGGAAAGATAAAATTATTGTTAAAAGTGCAAAAACACTTCTGAAATGAATCTTTATATTGAAAGATTAGAACTCAATGAGCTCTAACCACAGAAAGTAAAACAATGCATAAGCCTAGAAACAAAAACATGACATTTTAGAACAACAAAAAGAAACCCAAATGCTCCCAGAGAGTTAAGGAAAGAGAGAGAGAGAGAGAGAGAAACAAAGATGACAAATGACCAGCATCAGACTGTCATCAGGAACACTGGATATCACCAAAAAAAAAAAAAAAAAAAAGGTGAAATACATTCACCATTTTGAGGAAAAGTAATTTAAAACTAGAATTTTACACCCAGCTAAACTATCATAGTAAGTATGAGGATAAAGTTGATACATTTTCAGACAAGCAAGGAATCTTAAAATGTATGTCCTAAAATCACCATATATGAAAAAGTACTTGATCTTTTACCATGGAAAATGAAAATGGAAAGGATCCAGGGTGCAGCTTCAAATAAAACAAAGAGAGGCCTCTGAGGGTGGCCTGGAAGAGCTGAAGAGACAAAGATAAGGCATGGATCAACCTTATAAAGCATGAGAGATTGGAGGCCACTTAGTTGCCTTTTATGTTATTCTCTGCACTGTGTGTATTTCATACGAAGTACTTTTCTCCATATTTATTTATTTATTTTTTGAGACAAAGTCTCTCACTGTTGCTCAGGCTGGAGTGCAATGGCACAATCTGAGCTCACTGCAACCTCTACCTCCTGGGTTCACAGGATCCTCCTGCCTCGCCCTCCCAAGTAGCTGGGATTGCAGGTGCACACCACCAAACCCAGATAATTTTTCATGCTTTTGGTAGAGACAGGGTTTCACTATGTTAGCCAGACTGATCTCGAACTCCTGACCTTGTGGTCCACCCACCTCAGCCTCCCAAAATGCTTAAATATGGGCCAGGCATGAGCCACCGTGCCTGGCCCATATTTAAAGTAATAAAATATATCTAATCAGTCCAGAAACAGGATAGGTGGAACCAGAATTGCTCCCTTTGGAGAAATGTTCATCTCTAAAACTTCAACTCAACAAAAACTTGCTTGAAATATTTTCCACCACATTTCTGGGGCTAACACCAAAACTGATGAAGAAACAGCGACACACACACAAGTTTAATGAGGGAAAAACAAACAGACAAACCAGCGTGAATGATGCATCTCCAGCCACCAGCTCTAAACACCAACAAGGAAGAGAAGCTTGTGGAGCCTCCTGTCAGGAAAACACACTCCAGGGAGGGGTATAAAAGCCCCACAGCCCAGAGCTCCTCATTCACTCACTCACTCACTCACTCACTCAGTCACTCACTCACACCTCCTCCAGCTCACCTCCTCCACACCCCAGCATGGCCGCATCCACCATGTCCGTCTGCTCCAGCGCTTGCTCCGACTCCTGGCAGGTGGAAGACTGCCCAGAGAGCTGCTGCGAGCCCCCCTGCTGCGCCCCCAGCTGCTGCGTCCCCGCCCCCTGCCTGACCCTGGTCTGCACCCCAGCCAGCTGTGTGTCCAACCCCTGCTGCCAGGCAGCCTGTGAGCCCAGTCCCTGCCAATCAGGCTGCACCAGCTCCTGTATGCCCTCGTGCTGCCAGCAGTCTAGCTGCCAGCCGGCTTGCTGCACCTCCTCCCCCTGCCAGCAGGCCTGCTGCTTGCCCGTCTGCTGCAAGCCCGTGTGCTGTGTGCCTGTCTGCTGTAAGCCTGTCTGTGGCAAGCCTCTGTGCTGTAGGGCTTCTTCATGCTGCCAGCAGTCTAGCTGCCAGCCGGCTTGCTGTGCCTCTTCCTCTTGCCAGCAGTCCTGCTGTGTGCCCACCTGCTCTGAGTCTTCTTCATGCTGCCAGCAGTCTAGCTGCCAGCCGGCTTGCTGTACCTCCTCCCCCTGCCAGCAGTCTTGCTGTGTGCCCATCTGCTGCAAGCCTGTCTGCTGTGTGCCCACCTGCTCTGAGTCTTCCTCTTCATGCTGCCAGCAGTCTAGCTGCCAGCCGGCTTGCTGCACCACCTCCTGCTGCAGACCCTCCTCCTCCGTGTCCCTCCTCTGCCGCCCCGTGTGCAGGCCTGCCTGCTGTATGCCCGTCCCCTCCTGCTGTGCCCCCACCTCCTCCTGCCAACCCAGCTGCTGCCGCCCGGCCTCCTGCGTGTCCCTCCTCTGCCGCCCTGCGTGCTCCCGCCCAGCCTGCTGAGTCCTCTGCTCAGGCCAGAAGTCCAGCTGCTGAGTGCTGAATCCTCATCTCCTGCTGACTGCATCTTTGCTGCCAAGCAGGATTCTCCAGCCTCAGGCGCCTCTGGAGGCCTCAGAATCTACCAGCTCCCATCAGTGGCCGCACAGTTGCTGCCTGAATGGGATTTTCTGCACATCGCACTTCCCTCCTCCCTGTCTGGGAAGAGACAACTCACAAATCCCTTAGCAGGTGGACTGTGGCCTTCTGGAGCCCCTTCTCCAAATGTGTTGCCTGGACCCAATGTGACAAAGAAGAATTGCTCTAATCAATAAATTCTTGAGTCAGGAAATACGCGCTGGTGTGCACTTTCTGTCTTCCCCGAGCCCCTGTGCCTACTCCAAATTTGGACTGTGGGGCCACGACGGGACAGTCTCTCTCATTCCAAGATCAAACACTTGAGAGAGAGCAGGCTTTGAAAGCAGATGTGATCAGCTCCACGTCCCTCCTGCAGCTGAAGCCACACCTTTCCCACGGGGGATGAGCCTCCAAGCCGGGCCAGGGAGGGGCGCAGAGCTGAGCGGCTCAGCCCCTGGAAAGCTTTGGACCACCTGCCATGCCCGTCCCCTCCCAGTCTAAGCTAAAGAAGAGTCGGGTGGAAGCAGAAACCCCGTGCAGTTGGCGAGGCTGCAGGCCTGGGATGAGGGATGAGCAAGGGCCTCCGGCGGGGCCCTCTCAGGAGTCCTCTAGCACCTCACACACTCATCAACACGGAGCATTCTGGTAACAGAAGTTTCTAGATATGGGCCTCTCAGCAGGAGGGGTAGGCCTGCAGGTGTTCCTCTTAGCTGATTTCTTGGTTCCCAAATGGCTCCCCTGGTACCACATGTGCCAACAGCCCCCCCTTCTGCTGAGGACAGCACCCACTCCAGGCATATCCCACCCATACCCAGGACAGCACCCGCTCCAGGCAGATCCCACCCATACCCAGGACAGCACCCGCTCCAGGCAGATCCCACACATACCCAGGACAGCACCCGCTCCAGGCAGATCCCACCCATACCCAGGACAGCACCCGCTCCAGGCAGATCCCACCCATACCCAGGACAGCACCCGCTCCAGGCAGATCCCACCCATACCCAGGACACGCCTGGCTCGAGTCCTTAGTTCAGGGCCAGCAGCACCTCAGTCACACCTGCCCGTGACCGTCTCCTCTGTCCTCCTCCTCCCTGCTTCCGAGAAGGACCCTGTGGAGACACTGGACCCACCTGGATATCCCAGGGGACTCCCATCCCATAATTAGCCACACTTGTGAAGTCCCTTCTGCCACATAAAGTGACACACTCACAGGTTCTGAGATCCAGGATGTGGACATCATTGGTGACCATATTCAGCTGGCCACAGACGTTCACCTCTATGGACTGAAGGGGAAAATCAAGCTTTTAAAGAATGAAAGTTAATTTTATTCAGAAGTTTCACTGAGGACTGTAGACTGAGGTCTCTGTAGCCCAGCACAGTTGAGTCCTCAGTAAGGCTTCTGAATAAAACTAACTTTCATTCTTTAAAAGTTTAATTCTTTTCCTTAGTTGAAAACTACAGTGACCCAGATAGGACTCAGAGTAGACTGCCCAGGGATGTGTGGAACACTGGGGGACCCACGCCCTGGTACCAGCACAGCCCATTTGAGCCCCCACGGCTCCTCCGCGGTTACGGGTGACTGGGGGAGTCTCGGACCTCCCACTTGGTTGAGGTCCCTAAGTTTCATTCAGTTAGTTGATATCACTTCTCGGTGAAGGTAAATTCTTCTGTGAGATTTTTCATGTCTTAAGAAGGGGGAATTCTCCTAGTTGAAAGATTGGGCAGAAGTGGCTTCATGTGTAACACAGATGGAGCATATACTTGCAAGTGTCTCCCTGGAGGTGAGGGGTTTGCTAAAGGAGATTTAATACTGAAATGGCCAAAACTAGGATTCTCAAACATTGAGGCATGCCAGGTTTTCTGGGACTCCAGTGGACTACATATCATGGCCCATTCTTGTACCCATTTTTCCACAGTTAGATTATATCAAGGAGAAGTCAGAACTCAGAATCATCAACCTGCAAATACAGAGTGAAAATGTAGAGTCTCCTGAGTGCTCTATTTTTTTTCCGCCTACTTTGAATCTGTTGACTTTTCTACTGTTGTTGAGAAAAAACTCGCTTCTTATGGTATTACTAATTCAAGGCTACTGAATGAGTAGCCTTGAATTAATTACCTGAATTAATAACCTGAATTAATTCAAGTGCAGACCGCTCTTCTTATACAATTCAGCCAGTTCTAGCTGAAACATAAATATTGAAAAGTTAACCCTAAACTCATTTGAAACTGAAGGAAAAAAACGATAAAATAAGTTTAAAAATCAAACTGCCATGGAAACTGCTTTATCCAAAATTTTGGCCCACAGTCTTCATGAGATCACCTATTGGGCAAGCAAAATTTAGCAATGTAAATAGGTCTCGGTTTTCTCGGAAATATAATTTGGTTCCAACCATTCTTTATAAACCAATGAGTATTACTAGCCCATGACTAAAATTCTCAAATGAAAGTTATGAGATCTTTATTTGTGTGTGTGTTTAGATGTGTTTATGTACATGTACATGTATTATGTTGTATATTGTGTCTACATTGACTATTCAATAAACAAGCACTCATAGATTATCAAGCCCAAATATTTCCCAAGTTCATATGCCCTAAGTAAACCTTTAATAAATAAGCTGGTTTTAAAGTAACTGCTAAAGTTAAAATTTAAATGTCTTCAAAGTTGTCAGCATACATTTTGCTGACGTTTGCCTGGGTGTACTGGTCAGACAGTTTTACATTTGCCTCTAATAAATTTTAGAAGACCATAAACCCAGCCAAAAACGGAATAATTTTTATGTCATTTTTTATAAGTAAGACTGGCTCATGCCTGTAATACAAGCACTTTGGAAGCCAAGGCGGGTGGATCACCTGAGGTTGGGAGTTCAAGACCAGCCTGACCAACATGGTGAAACCCCATCTTTAAAAATATATATAGTTGATTTAATGAAAACAGCTGTACCTTCTGAGTTATCAACAAAATACTCATACATTTAATTTCTTACTTAGGTGAACACTATATATTCACAGGCTATAAAAATGATTAACAAGGAAATAACTTGAAACAATGACTAAGTCTGTCTAATATGTCAATTTTTGAAATTATTAAAAATAAATAAATTAGGCAAATGTAAATGAGGTAAACATCAATAAACTTTATGTAATTGACATCTAAAATTATATTAAATTAAATAATAAATATTATATGGCCTAATCATTTTCAATTAAAAAATTTACATTATAAGGAAACATGTTTCTAAAAATGATAAAGTTGTTTTTGCATGTTAAATACTGTTATGTGACAGAAAATTTAAAATTTCTTATTTCCTAGGTTTTCAATAAAATTTAAGGTTACTAGGAACTAAAAATTTTAATATATATAATTCTATGTATAAAAGGTGCCAAAATAAGATGTGCTTTAATAAGAAAAAAATTACAAGAAAGGCATAAAGATGGTGTTCTTTATTGATAAAAAGAATAATTTGCCTAATCCAAAGGTTATTTAAAAGTTGTTTCCAAATATGGATTTAGGAAGGAAACAGGAAACACGATAGAAAGTAACCAGTAAGTAGGAAAAATAAATGTGAAGAAAGTTATGAATGTGAGGATGTGCTTTTGGTAAAGAAGATTAAAGAGAGAAGAAAATAATTTTGTATGAGAAAGAATCTTATATGGTGAATTTTTATCCTTATGTAAAACAACTGGTTGTTTAAGAATAAGGAAGAGAAAAAAGCAGAAAATCCAGGTATGTTGTAACTGGTCTGTGTAAGTCATGTTAAGGCTCTTGAAAAGAGAATTTATGAAAGGAATTTTGTATATGATTAGGTTGGATATAGTTAAAATGAAATTATTTATAATAGTCTTTCTAAAGATTGAACATTGATATTAAAACATATACTAATACGAAACTAAAGATATTGACAACCTGTGTTAGAGCAAAAGGTTTTCTGAAGGAATTGATTTGCTGTTAGTAAAACTGCAAGAGGTTTTCTGAAGGAATTGATTTGCTGTTAGTAAAACTGCAAGAGGTTTTCTGAAGGAATTGATTTGCTGTTAGTAAAACTGCAAGAGGTTTTCTGAAGGAATTGATTTGCTGTTAGTAAAACTGCAAGAGGTTTTCTGAAGGAATTGATTTGCTGTTAGTAAAACTGCAAGAGGTTTTCTGAAGGAATTGATTTGCTGTTAGTAAAACTGCAAGAGGTTTTCTGAAGGAATTGATTTGCTGTTAGTAAAACTGCAAGAGGTTTTCTGAAGGAATTGATTTGCTGTTAGTAAAACTGCAAGAGGTTTTCTGAAGGAATTGATTTGCTGTTAGTAAAACTGCAAGAGGTTTTCTGAAGGAATTGATTTGCTGTTAGTAAAACTGCAAGAGGTTTTCTGAAGGAATTGATTTGCTGTTAGTAAAACTGCAAGAGGTTTTCTGAAGGAATTGATTTGCTGTTAGTAAAACTGCAAGAGGTTTTGGTTTTTAGTTCTGAATTCTGTTCTTTTTAAAACTTCTTAGATGTATGCCTCAGAAATCCAGCTTCTTCTATACCTCGCTGCATGTGATTTTTCAGGTCATTCATCATGACCTTCAGTTTTTTCTTCCCTTAAGACCTGGGATGATAAGTCCTTTAATTTTTTGTCGGCTCCTATAACGTTTTCATGCAATTCTAATCCTGTGTGGCCTGATACTGAAATATTTACCCTTAAAGTTTGGATCAGCAGCATTTTTCCTCCAGTGTCACTTTATTCTGTAACTCGGCTTTTCGTGATATATCTGAATTGTTCCATGTTACTTTCTATACTGCTTTTGAGGTCTTTTGATGATCACTGTAGTTAAATGAATACTTATTATTTTAAAATACTTATTATTTTTAAATGACCCATAATTCTGTTTTGATCAAATTTTTAAAACTTTTGACATCTCTGACAGGTTTCTCCTGGACTTATTTGGCAAATTGTATGGAAAATATTGTAAAATAATAAATTATACTAGACTCTTTTTCAGTTACATTTATGGGAATGTTGTTGATATGTTTCAAAAATTATATAATTCATAAAAATATAATGTGTTGTCATAATTTTAATTATGTCAAATTTTTTCTACAGTTATGTTTGTGTAAAAATGTTATTAATGTGAATATTCTAAAAATCGTATGAAATTTTGAATTCTGATTGTCCTGATGTGACATTGCCGGCAATGATTGTGATTATTATCTTAAAATCTTACAAGTAACTACATTTCCTTGTCTATTGGAAACTTCCGTCAACTTTTAACCATGGCTATTCCAAGTTTTTGTCATCCACAGTTATGGTTCTGAATTGGTCTCTAAAAACATTTATGATCAGTTCTTTTCATGGGAAAGACTCTAATAAGTATAGACAGAAAAATTTATGAAAAATGAGGAATACAATTAATGAAAAACCATACAAATGTACATTCTGGTTTTTTTTAATGGCTATCATATTTTTTCCTATCTGCTACTCACTTGAATATAATTAAATATACATGTAATTAAATATAAATTGAATAACCTGTAGTATCCTTGCAATTGTCCTGTTAAGGTGTTGCGTTAGGTGCAGGAAAAGGCAACATTAGGGGAAAAACACATATCATGCTAATTAAAAAATAGAGGCAACCTGAAGCATGTTTTCCAATAAATCTGCAAACATACATGCTAGGCCCAGTGCTCACTCCTTACAACGGCAACTGTAGACTAGTGACCCTCCTGGGAAAGTGCCTTCCTAGCCACGTGGGACAATAGACGCTGGTCTTATCAATGCAACCAGACAGTTATCTATGACCAAAAGGAGGAACTTGAGCTGAAACGCGGCTCTGGAGCCTCGGACAGAACTGCCCGCAGGCTGGAGACCTGGGTCCTCTAGAGTCCTAGGAACGACCTCTAAGTAAAGCTCACTTTAATTCTTTGAAAGCTTGATTTTTTATCAACACCACAAACCTCTTTCCCGTCCAGTAGGAAGAAGGAGTACCTATAGATTAGTTTAAAGCCCTAATTTCCTGACAGGAGGGGGTTGCACATACCAGCTAATAAGCAGAAGGCCTGCTTTACCTAAAATGGATCAGACTACAAAATTCATAATTTGTCCTCAATCTCACCCAGAAGAGAGGAAGAACTGACTTACTCATAAATTTCAGGAACAAAGGGAGAGGAAAGGAAGCCTGATGTGATGGGGGCGGAGGGTTCCCACCAGGCCAAGCTCAGGAGCACAGTGCACTAGCCCGAGAGGGTGCTGTTGGGTGGCTGCTCACCAGGCATCTGGTACCTGTGCCTTCTCTGCAGAGAAGGAGCTTTCCAGAATCCTGGGGAAGATACCTCCTGAGGAGGGAGCATGGGAAAGATGCTGAGGAGAAGGCATCACACAGCACCTGGTATTTATTAGATATTTGCAAGAGGCCCAACATCAGACAGTGCAGAGAGCCATGTAGATGACCCAGGCTGAGAACCCCAGGGAAACTGCAGACAGCTGTGTGGACTCACTGGTGGGATCTAGTGACTGTGCCACAAGGGAGGCAGGTGGTGACAAAGCTGGACTGTGGGACTGCCTAGCGGGAGATCACAGAGCCTGCCTGCTTCTGACCTCACACCTACGAGGGTCCTAGGAGGCCAGCTGCTCAGCAGCAGGTGCAGGTGCTACAGGTGACAGGTCTATAGACCAGGGTGGGGCAGGAGGGCTGGCAGCACCCAGAGTTTGGGCAGAAGGAGGCCACACAGAAAACAGACTTGCAGCTCACAGGCACACAGCAGGCCAGCTGGCAGCAGGTGGGCACCCCACCCAGGGGCTGGCACAGCAGAGCCACACAGGAGGCTGAATAGCAGCAGGTAGTCCCACAGCCCAGGTGTGGGTAGCAGGTGCTGGGGAGGCAGCACAGGCAGGACACCGGGAGCCTGAAGAGCAGCTGGTGTGGCGCATGATGGAGCGTGGACAGGTGGGGCGCAGAGGACGGGGCTGGTCTGGAGCTGCTTCCTTGGGTAGCCTTTACACCCAGGCCACTGGCAACCTGGCAACAAGCCCCTTGGTGTCTTCTTCATGGGTGCTTCCTCCCCCTCTGCCCTCTCCAGTCAATCTTTCTGGGTTTTCATATTGAAAGTGCTCAGTTCAGGAAACTCTTTCAGCTGAGGTGCCGTATCATTCAGCAGACTGTGCGTTTCCTAGAAATGGAGCCGGGGGTAGCTGGTGAAGGGCTGTCAGTGAGGCCAGGGGCCAACCCCATGGATGCTCAGGGCCCCTCCAATGTAAATGCCATCTGGAGCTCAGCACAATCACCCACACTGCACCAGGAGCCCGTTTAGACTGAGAAGCTCTGTCATCATCAGGGTCTTCCCAAGTAACAAAAGCCAAGCTACTGCGGCTCGGCCGTCAGGAAAGTGACTCTCTGAAGAGGTGCCTTAAAGCTGGTATGTCCCTTCAAGGAAAGAACTTACAAAATATATGAAGATAAACGAGGGAGAGAAGTTGTATAGGGACAGCTGATTTATCTGGCTCACGTGGGTGTTAGTTTCCTGCTGGAATGAGAGAAGGACTTGGGGAGCCAGGACTTCCTTGAGGGGGTTCCCAGGGAGGGTCACAGAAGGTCTGAATCATTTTTCCACATTCTCACCCCCGAGTTGAGAGGTTTCCTTGAGCAGGCTTTTCATCTGCCCCACGTGTACAATGTTTTACGAAGCGTCTTTCTTTCGACTCTTCAGTATTTTCTTTAGTTTTGGTTTTCGTTACTTTCACTATTCAATGCTTAGATATGGTTTTCTTTGTAATGATCCTCCTACAGGTTTCTGAGATTCTTGGGTCTGTAAGTTGTTATTTTTTAAATGAAATTTGAGGCCTTGGGCCATTATTTCCTCAAAACTTATTTATGGTTTGGCATCGCTCTCTTCTCTTTCTGAGGTTGAAATTAGGAGTATGTTAGACACTTCAATACTGGCTCAGACGCCTGTCTTTTCATTTTTCTCGATTCTTTTGCCTCTTGAGACAAGATAATTTCTACTGGTGTGTCTTCAGGTTCAGTGACTTTTCCATCAGGTAGCTCCTGACCCCAGACCCCAGACCCCCAGACCCCAGACCCCCAGACCCCCAGACCCCAGACCCCAGACCCCAGCATGGGATTGTGAAGCTTGGCTCTTGGGTCCTCATGATCTGACCAGTTCACCTGCACCCATGGCCCAATACCCAGAGTGCAGGATTCCTGCCTCCTCTGTGGCCTCACTCTCTCCGTGGCCACACTGTCTCCTCACAGAGGCCCCCAGACCAACGGCCAGCACTCCCATTACTATCTCCTGAGCCCATTTTTCCCTGGGACTCAGCCCTATATGGAGCTATTTCATGCATTCATTTCTTCCTCCACTCATTTATTCATTGTCCACTGCTAGAGGGCTCTTGAGGCCAAAACCTCCTTGCTGCTAGTACACAATATATACTTGTTGCACGAACAAATACATTCTTGTGTAGATTACTCTAAGGCAGAGCTGCCTAACTTTCTGCAAAGGGCAGATGGAAAATACTTCATGCTTTCCAAGTTACCGTCTCTTCCACAACTACTCAGTGGCGCCAGTGTAGTGTGAAAGAGGCCACGGACAGTACGTGGACCAGTGGCCAGTGGCATCCTGTGTTCCAATAAAAGTTCATTGAGAAAACAGGCAGTGGCCAAATTCGGCTCACAGACCATAGTTTGCCAGCCTATGTGTTAAAATTTTACTCTATAAAATAAAAGCGCAAAACATATTATTGCCTCAACATCTTCCTCGATAGCATGAAACAGAAGTGAAAAAACAGGATTTGGTACTTAGAGTCAAGATAGCGGTTCTATGTGCAGAGTAGTAGTCTGAAAATTAAAAAAAAAAAAAAAACCTGCATAACATCAAACCAGGACCTCCTGTTTACAGATGAAATTGGCCTCGAGGCCCAAGCTATCCATGGTGGAGCACAGCACGGGAAAGTGCATGCACGGGAAAGTACATGCACGGGAAAGTACATGCACGGGAAAGTACATGCACGGGAAAGTACATGCAGGGGAAAGTACATGCACGGGAAAGTGCATGCAGGGGAAAGTACATGCACGGGAAAGTACATGCAGGGGAAAGTACATGCAGGGGAAAGTACATGCACGGGAAAGTACATGCACGGGAAAGTACATGCAGGGGAAAGTACATGCAGGGGAAAGTACATGCACGGGAAAGTACATGCACGGGAAAGTACATGCAGGGGAAAGTACATGCAGGGGAAAGTACATGCAGGGGAAAGTGCATGCAGGGGAAAGTGCATGCACGGGAAAGTACATGCACGGGAAAGTACATGCACGGGAAAGTACATGCACGGGAAAGTACATGCAGGGGAAAGTACATGCAGGGGAAAGTACATGCACGGGAAAGTACATGCACGGGAAAGTACATGCAGGGGAAAGTGCATGCACGGGAAAGTACATGCACGGGAAAGTACATGCACGGGAAAGTACATGCAGGGGAAAGTACATGCACGGGAAAGTGCATGCACGGGAAAGTACATGCACGGGAAAGTGCATGCAGGGGAAAGTACATGCACGGGAAAGTACATGCACGGGAAAGTACATGCACGGGAAAGTACATGCAGGGGAAAGTACATGCAGGGAAAGTACATGCAGGGGAAAGTACATGCACGGGAAAGTACATGCAGGGGAAAGTACATGCACGGGAAAGTACATGCACGGGAAAGTACATGCACGGGAAAGTACATGCAGGGGAAAGTACATGCAGGGGAAAGTACATGCACGGGAAAGTACATGCACGGGAAAGTACATGCACGGGAAAGTACATGCAGGGGAAAGTACATGCACGGGAAAGTGCATGCAGGGGAAAGTACATGCACGGGAAAGTACATGCAGGGGAAAGTACATGCAGGGGAAAGTACATGCACGGGAAAGTGCATGCAGGGGAAAGTGCATGCACGGGAAAGTACATGCACGGGAAAGTACATGCAGGGGAAAGTACATGCACGGGAAAGTACATGCAGGGGAAAGTACATGCAGGGGAAAGTACATGCACGGGAAAGTACATGCAGGGGAAAGTACATGCACGGGAAAGTACATGCAGGGGAAAGTACATGCAGGGGAAAGTACATGCACGGGAAAGTACATGCAGGGGAAAGTACATGCAGGGGAAAGTACATGCACGGGGAAAGTACATGCACGGGAAAGTGCATGCAGGGGAAAGTACATGCACGGGAAAGTACATGCAGGGGAAAGTACATGCACGGGAAAGTACATGCACGGGAAAGTACATGCACGGGAAAGTACATGCACGGGGAAAGTACATGCAGGGGAAAGTACATGCAGGGGAAAGTACATGCAGGGGAAAGTACATGCACGGGAAAGTACATGCACGGGGAAAGTACATGCACGGGAAAGTACATGCAGGGGAAAGTACATGCAGGGGAAAGTACATGCAGGGGAAAGTACATGCACGGGAAAGTACATGCACGGGAAAGTACATGCACGGGAAAGTACATGCAGGGGAAAGTACATGCAGGGAAAGTACATGCAGGGGAAAGTACATGCAGGGGAAAGTACATGCACGGGAAAGTACATGCACGGGAAAGTACATGCACGGGAAAGTACATGCAGGGGAAAGTACATGCAGGGGAAAGTACATGCAGGGGAAAGTACATGCACGGAAAGTACATGCACGGGAAAGTACATGCACGGGAAGTACATGCAGGGGAAAGTACATGCAGGGGAAAGTACATGCAGGGGAAAGTACATGCAGGGGAAAGTACATGCAGGGGAAAGTACATGCCGGGGAAAGTGCAGCACGGGAAAGTACATGCACGGGAATGTACATGCAGGGAAAGTACATGCGGGGAAAGTACATGCACGGGAAATGTACATGCAGGGGAAAGTACATGCAGGGGAAAGTGCATGCAGGGGAAAGTACATGCAGGGGAAGTACATGCACGGGAAAGTATCATGCAGGGAAAGTACATGCAGGGGAAAGTACATGCAGGGGAAAGTTACATGCAGGGGAAGTACAGGGGAAAGTACATGCAGGGAAAGTACATGCAGGGGAAAGTACATTGCAGGGGAACGTACATGCAGGGGAAAGTACATGCACGGGAAAGTACAGCACGGGAAAGTACATGCAGGGAAAGTACATGCAGGGGAAAGTACATGCACGGGAAAGTACATGCACGGGAAAGTGATGCACGGGAAGTGCATGCACGGGGAAAGTACATGCACGGGGAAATTACATGCAGGGAAAGTACATGCAGGGGAAAGGACATGCACGTGGAAAGTACATGCACGGGAAAGTACATGCACGGGGAAAGTAATGCAGGGGAAAGTACATGCAGGGGAAAGTACATTCAGGGGAAAGTACATGCAGGGGAAAGTGCATGCAGGGAAAGTACATGCAGGGGAAAGTACATGCACGGGAAAGTACATGCACGGGAATGTACATGCACGGGAAAGTGCATGCACGGGAAAGTACATGCACGGGAAAGTGCATGCAGGGGAAAGTACATGCATGGGAAAGTACATGCAGGGGAAAGTACATGCACGGGAAAGTGCATGCACGGGAAAGTACATGCACGGGAATGTACATGCACGGGAAAGTACATGCAGGATAGTAAGGTGTTGGGAAACACGGTGGAAACAGCCAAGAGGAAGACAGCAGCTGTGCTTTCGTGTTACCCAGATGCCTGCGGCCCAGACATCACCACCCTCCTCCCCAGTACCAGCCCAGCCACAAGCCAGCATGTGCCACACCAGCTGCTCCCCAGATTGCAAGCCAACCTGCTGCATACCCAGCCCCTGCCAGGCATCCTTCTGCATGCCTGTGAGCTGCCAGTCCTCCGTGTGCCTAACTGTGAGCTGTGCACCCACTGTGCATGCAGCCCCCTCCTGCCAGCCCTCCATGCACATAGCTGTGAGCTGCAGGCCCGCTGTATGTGTGACTCCCTCCTGCTAGTGCTCCGGGTGCTGCCAGCCCCACTGCACCATCATCCTCTGCAGCACTACTTCCTGCTGCTGCCCAGCTGCTCCTGGTACACAGGGGTACACACCTGTATCCCTCCATGAACGAGCATCTGGTGGATCCCCAGATTGTACACGTGGGGCAGATGAAAAGCATGCTCAAGGAAACCTCTGAACTCGGGGGTGAGAATGTGGAAAAATGATTCAGACCTTCTGTGACCCTCCCTGGGAACCCCCTCAAGGAAGTCCTGGCTCCCCGAGTCCTTCTCTCATTCCAGCAGGAAACGAACACCCACGTGAGCCAGATAAATCAGCTGTCCCTATACAACTTCTCTCCCTCGTTTATCTTCATACATTTTGTAAGTTCTTTCCTTGAAGGGACATACCAGCTTTAAGGACAGCAGCACCTCTTCAGAGAGCCACTTTCCTGATGGCCGAGCCACAGTGGAGGGTCCTTGGTCGGGAGAGTGGCCTGAAGGTGCTGTCCCCACACTCATTCCCCAAGCCTTGCACTGTGGGATAACAGGATGTTGGAAAGAACCATGAAGAAGACAACTGCTGTGTTTTTATGTTACCCAGATGCCTGGGACCCAGGTATTAAGACCACCAGAGAAGTAGCTTCCAGATGGGGGCTACAGAGGGCAGGGTAGAAGAAATAGTCCTCTTCCCTGAAGGATGGATGGGAAATAGTCCTGGTCCCAGATCCCATGCAGTGCCTCAAAGGATTACTATGGCAAAGAGGGCAGGAAACACTTTCAAACAACACCCTCCACAAATACTGAGCAGAGTTCGTCTGTCCTGGGAAGGGGCAGCAGAAGTGCAAGAAAGTCTCATCCTCCACGTCCCCATGCAAAGGGCCGGCCTAAGACTGACACTGGACCAGGACAACAGAGAGCCCTCCTGTCTGCAGCTCCAGCCTAGCAGGCACCACTCAATAAGCAACACCAGCCTGCCACTGGGGAAAGGCAGAAGTGTGGAGAGATTGCCTCTCAATGTCAGGCATGCAGGGGCATCTGAAAACTTAGGGTGGAGCAAAAGCGCTGACCTCCCCAGCTCTCACCCTAAGCACGAGCCATTGGT